AGTGCTTTTTGCGCTTCGCTGATCGAACAAATGTAGACCATACTCAAAGCGAACAGATTGCGGGCCGGTCATCCCTGGGAAAACTGTAACAGTAGCCATTAGAGTTCATTAGCCACAGCTGTGGCGACCAGACCACAACCGACAACCGACGAAACAACCCATCCTTCAAGCACAAGGTTAGCTACTCTGTTCATATACCCCTCATAAATTCTCACTTGATAAACAAAGAAATGGTCAATCTTCGCTCACAAAAGCGGCTTGCCGCATCCGTCGCTGGCGTAGGCGAGCGTAAAATCTGGCTTGATCCTAATGAACAGTCAGAGATCGGCAACGCCAACTCGCGGACGCACGTAAAGAAACTTATCAAGGATGGTCGCATCATCATCAAGCCCACAACCGTCCACTCTCGTGCTCGCACCCTCCTTCTCCTTGCTGCGAAGCGCAAGGGTCGTCACACTGGTGTAGGAAAGCGGAAGGGTACGGCAGAGGCTCGTATGCCAACTAAGGTCCTTTGGATGAGACGGCAGCGTGTTCTTCGGAGATTGCTTCGAAAATATCGTGAGGCGGGAAAGATTGACAAGCACCTGTGCGTTCTACTTTGTTTATCACACGAGCCCTGTTTCATATGATCGCACTACCTCTCATCACCAAAGCTATCACTCCCTCTACCAGAAGTCCAAGGGTAATGTCTTCAAGAACAAACGTGTATTGATGGAGTATATTCACAAGGCAAAGGCGGAGAAGTCCCGCACAAAGATCCTCTCTGACCAGATGGAAGCTCGCCGCATCAAAAATAAGGTGCGCTATCTATCCCCTTTTCCCTGATCAAATCCTTCTTCATACTAATAAATATCTCATTCGTATCTCAGGCGGTTCGTGAACGCCGTGCTGCGCGCATTGCAGAGAAGAGAGAGGCTATTCTTGCGGTGGAGCACGATGGGGCCAAAGCATGAGAAATATCTGATATTTTTGTCTTGTTCCCCCGTTCCATTACTTTACGCCACGCCATGCTGTATACATGCCACCATGAAACTACACCAGGTCGTTGCCATGCTCGTGTGTGTACGAGACACTGCCAATGAGGTCATAAAAGTGACCAAAATGGTGCGGCCCAAGCACGTTGCGCCGGAATGTGCTGTTGTCCCCACTACCATGAGCCCTGCCGCGATGCACTGCGTCCTCAAAGACGGTGTTGACCGTAAGTCATTCCGACTAAATGTTCAAAGTCTTTGTGCGAAAATATGGATAGGAAAAGCCCACGTTCTCGACAGACGCCTGGGTGAAGTCTTTGTACATTACATTGGCACGGACAAGCGACTTGACGAATGGATCTCTGCGGACGCCGTCCGTGCAACCACCCCACCGCGGAATTCTACATCCCCTAGCCGTGATACCCCTCCGCCGCGTCGCGTGAATGGTACGAGCACGCGCAAGCGGCGGCGCTCGGCATCGCCTGCAAAAGTACAGGATACTCCGGAAACGACCCAATCCCCTGCAGCCCTACCCACGATGGCCTCTGCACGGCGCAACTTTGACAAGGTCAATTTTGGGCCTTGGCAGATCAAAACTTGGTGAGCGTAGTAATTTCCGTTCCTTGTTTCCCCCCCTGCCCTGTGGGAGGTTTTCACTGAGATGACCACGAGTCTCATCCTCTGCCCGCAGGTACTTCTCCCCGTACCCACTGACGGACGGCGAAGGTGAGGACGTTATCGGACATGGGCGTACGATGGACCTCTTCGCTGGCGCGGTTAACCGCGAGAATGCAAGCGGCATCCTGTGGGTTTGCGACCGATGCTTCAAGTATATGACAGACGGCACGTCTTGGGAAGTACATATGGTACGTCCCGTTTCTCCTCTCCTCTCGCCCAGGCCACGAATGGAAGGCATGTTGACGTACTTGTACGGCGTGGTCACAGAGGAAGTGTACCCGCAAGCACCCGCCGGGTAGGAAGGTGTATCAGCGAGGGGCGCACACGATTTGGGAGGTGGACGGCGCTAAGGAAAAGGTACGCACGCACAGGTCGCCTTGGGGTCGTCAGTTCTCTTTTCTTACTCAATGAGAGTAGTTATATTGCCAGAATCTCTCACTATTTGGAAAATTGTTTATCGATATCAAGACGCTTTTTTTTGACTGCGATAACTGTGAGCGCCTGCGTCCCGTCGACCGCAGAAATTGCTTATGTACCCGAGTAGTCCTATTTTATATCTTCACCGATGCCGACTCCCAACGGGATCATGTCCTTGGTTTCTTTTCGAAGGTATGATTAGACTTACTCATTCAAGTACCTCACTAACCTGACTTTTGACAGGAAAAGATATCCTATGACGATTACAACCTAGCGTGTATCGTAGTTCTTCCCCCATACCAGAAGAAAGGTTATGGAATGCTTTTGATCGAGTTCAGTATGTGAATGTCACTTCTTCTTCACGGGCTTGGCCGACCCACTTACTGTATAGGTTACGAGCTTTCTCGCCGCGCAGGCCGCATTGGGACCCCTGAACGTCCACTCTCCGATCTCGGTCTCCGCAGTTACCTTGCTTATTGGGTGTCCACCATCGTCCGCTTCCTCCGGTACGCGCTCGAGCTTCCATACACCTCGTTGCCCACATCGCCCTTACTCTCGATTCAAACCAGCCAACTTTTGTCCACGCTTCCGCCCGACTTGCCTCCAATCAAGACCAGCCACCTTCCAGACCTCTCTCATGTCCGAACAAGCGTAGACATGACATCGTCTTCGCAGCAGAAACGCACGAAGCGCGCCAAGGGCTGGGACGGCGAGTCCGCAGCACCGAGCTCGCCTGAAAGTGGCGGCGGTGCATCGCCCGCAACGCGCGATAATTTTGCTTTCAGCTCATTGGGGCCCGCGGCACAGGTGCCACTCGACAGGATGTACGAGACTGTGCCTGCGCAGGACGGGAGCGCGGCAGTGCACACCGTCGTGCGCTGTACACTCGCAGACCTCGCGCGCGCGACGAACCTGCGTGTCGAGGACGCCGCATTTGCGCTGAACGAGTGTGGGCTGCTCGTTCGGAGGGAGGGCGAGGGCGACACGATGACGATAGCAATCTCACGGGAAATGGTCGAGGCCGTCGCGCGGGAGCGGAACGTCAAGCGGATGTGTATTGACTTTACAAAGGTGTTACTTTGAGGTCCGCTTTCCGCACTCGTTGTATGTAATGATATACAATCGTTGCCCGAAAGCGTCGGCGACACTAACCATTGCTGGGGTGCGGAGTACGCTGAGGTGCGGAGTATTGTCGCAAGGGCAAATCGGCAAACGACACGACTAGGGCCACTAGGCTCTTCTTCTCTTACTGTCATGCCCACGAAGAATCCCTCTCTCACTGACTTCCCAGTGCACTCTGGACAACAGGAGTGTTGTTCTCTCCACTGTCCCCAGCTCTTGAATCTTTGAATTGGCTCTAGCTCTGTGCTACCTGAAGAATTGGCAAAGATTCTCTTGCCAAAGAGGCCAGTATACACTTTCACCAGAACTGGATGCTGAGTCACTGACACAGACTATGAAATTGCTTGTCCCCAATGTACCCTCTGTAACCAAAAACCCTTGACTATATTCACCTTCCCCTGTCCCTAGTCATAGGGATCCATTTGTGGTATGCAGCAATGTGTGTCCCCATTTGGTTAAGAGTGCCATGCAGCCACAGCAGCCATGCATATTGGTGGGCAGATGTAGGACAGCTTAATCCATACCAGGTTTGTATTGCCTACTCTGACTCGGATTACCTCCATCCAGTATGCACCTGTCTGTTGGGTGGACAATGTGTGGGAAGTTGGGAACAGGCACCAGGGACAGCTCCCACACCTTGGCCAGGTTACACTCTTCCTTTTAAGACACTGTGTGCCTTTCTGTCAGCTCTCTTATCTTTGCCTCATTTGCCCAAATCAAATGTCAGCCGGACCTTAGCCATGGGCGCAGATGAAGGCTTGTCAAATTAAATGGTATCAAAACTGCTAATTAATTACTGTATGTTGTCACATCACCTTTCTATGGGGTCTTCCTTCACAACTGAGTTGTGCCGTGCTGTCCTCCTAGCCTGAAGCACCCCATGCTGCCCATCACCTACTGTAACCCCCTTCTGCGCTTGTCATACCTGGAATGCACAATGTTCTCCCTTACAGTTTCCTTTGAAAACCTAGACAGACAATGTGCTTCTGCCCTTTGTTGCTACAAGACCCTCTTTGCCACTTGGTACAAGTATTGAGTATGGTTGCAACAGCACAACAGGTTTGTCAACAGCATTTGAGCATTGCAAGGCCCAGTCCAAACCAGTCTACTCAAGGATTTGTGCCTTTGAAGTTCATGTCAACACTCACAGCTCACAGCTTATGTGCATTAATATATGGTGATCGATAAACATTTTTATTGTCATTCTGATGGCAACGAGCAAGACTGGCCAGGCTTCATAAGCCCTACCCAATAGCGATGTACGCTCCCCCAATCAGCCCCTCACTGCAGAATGAGTATTTACCCGACATGGTTGAAAGATAATGAGAATCAGGCCGAGAATTAATGACGCACAGACCTAAGAACACGGCAGCACGCTCCAACCCAACTTACCAACGGTGTACCATTCTGCGTATCTGTATAGCGGCTTGAGATTGGTTCCAACGTCCAACTCCACCAACATATTGAACATAACCTGTGCATGTGAATTCAAAAGTTTCGATGGAAAAGAATGGCCCCGTGTGCTAGCGTTGTCACCTATCTCAGAGCCAGCGTATCCCTTGATTGCCTTCCCCGTGGTCTTGCTGCGAAGACGAAGAAAACGTAGCTTTTGGTAAGAGGTCCGCGAGATGCGGTCAGCAGTAGCAATAGCCCTAATGAAGCACCTTGCTCGCACTCGTGAATGAGCCGCGGAAACCTCACAAGTGGAGTATCGAGACTGAAAGCGAGACCGAAACTCGCGAGCTGACGGCACCAGAAGGAAAGGATGGCCTTTTCGAAAGCTTCAGCTTTTGATTCATTTTACCCACGATTGCCGGGGTAGCTCAGCTGGGAGAGCAACAGACTGAAGCCTGGGCGGAGAGGATATCCGATTACGGAGCATTCTGGAGGTCCCGTGTTCAATCCACGGTCCTGGCATTTTTCCACCACTGACGTAGCAAAAGAAGTACACACTGAAGGGTTTTTTTGTATGGTTTATGAGGAGCATAGCGATGCAATGCGGGGAATGTGGGCTGCCCAATGTCCAATGTCACTTGCGCGGGATAGAAGGTCCTCTGATGACTAAGATGCCAAACGCTCGTTAGACACGCCGTTTCAGTGTGGCCCGTCTCCCAGGCGTACTAGGGTGAAGACTCCACAGATAAAGGGCATGTTTGTGCCTGGATATGCCTGGATATCCTCGAACTATTCTTTCGTCGTTATGTTGGTTGATCCAGCTCTGAACTACGGACGGCGCAGCGCGATGGAATCCATTCGACACGGAAATCCAACCATCGCAAACCGAATGACACCCGCCGATGCATTCCTGCTCCTTCTCCTCTGGCAATGCCTTTCTTGATTCCAGGTTCCCGTATGTCTATGCCTCTTCGGACCTCTCCGGTAAGAGTACACTCTCAGTGCTCGGTTGTGAGCATATATCAACCCATTTGACTCGGTCCAAGGTTCTTGTGCCTGCGTCTCCCCCACAGTCAGAGTGCCAGTCTGTGACCCCCCGCTCCCAAACGTTTCCAGACACCCCGCCCGTTTTAGACGCAGACATATTCGATTCAGTTCCCTTCTCGGTATATATCTACCGCCGCGGAGTGTTCGAGCTCGGGCACAATCTAATTCTTTCGTCGTTGCAGGCCTCGTTCTCGGCGTTTCTCAACTTCTCTACTCATGACGCCACGCTTCAAAGCGCCACTATCACCGCAGACACTGCCCCGGTTCCTGTCAAGGACGTCAAGCGTTTGTCGAGTCGGGCTGAGGCTAGCTACTACGTCGAGGTATGTGATTTCTGCAGTGGACGTACAGAGTGCTGATGCTCGTTAAAGCAACTAACGAATATTCGAGACGTTGACTCTGAGTGGGAGGACGATGAAGTCGAGGCAAGCGTATCCTAGATTCTGGTTTCATTCTGCTCAAATTCTAGTTATAGGAAGTTATGATCATCTCGCCCAAACCCAGGATCCCTGTTGCGCTCACCGGTTCGTCCCTGGCTCATGTTCTCCCCACACCCACCTTTAGCCCGCTAGTGGAACCACCCGAGCCCGTGGTCCCACAAGAGTCCTATACTATCTTGCGGACGTTGCACCGCACGCAGACTTCAAACCTCTCCCTCGCGGTCTCCTCTGGGTGTCCCACATCAACCAAGAAGGCCACGCTTCGCCACGCCTTATATGCGATCCGCACACACCGCCTGCCTCTGTCTCGTGCTGCGCTTGCCGAACGTACTGCGCTGGAGGTGCTATCCATTCGCAACCGCGGGGAAAATCCGTATGTCCAGCGTGCGTCACGATTCTGGGACGACGGCCAGATGCTTTACATTGTGCTGGAGCATTGCGGTGGCGGGAATTTGATGGGCCTCATACAAGTCGAAGGCCCCGTAGACAACACACGCATGAAGCGATGGGCGTGCGAGATCGTGAGCATTACTTTTCTCGCTGTATCCTGTATGGCCATTCGTTGAGTCTTGGCAGGCATCTGGCATCGCCTTCATACACAGTGCTGGCATAATACATAGTGATATCCGACCATCAACAGTCCTTTTTCGCGTAAATGGACACGTTTGCATAAGCGGGTTCGAACATGCTACTGTGATTGCCATGCGTCAAAATGTGCCGCCATCCATCGAAGAGAGACAGCGTGGCTTACTTGCGAGCGCACGTGAATGGTGCGAGGCTCCCGAGATGCTCTTCGGCTGGGAGATAGGGCTTGAGGTGGACTGTTGGGCGTTCGGGATTATTCTGGTATGGATGATTACCGGAAAGGTATGTCTTTCACTGAGTTGTGTGATCATTGTGAACTGACATCATGTCTATATAGCAACCGTGGTACCAGAGCACACGAGAGCAACCTAATATGGTTCGAGATTGTATTCTAAACGATCACTTGCCTGTCGCTCCGTTAGAGGAAGTCGACGCAGCCGTCGAACATTTGATCACGAAGGTGAGCTCCTAATTGAAATGACAGACTGGAAATGTATTTGGAATCGTGCAGTGTCTCGACCGCAATCCTTCCAAGAGGCCTACCATTGAGCAGATTAAAGCATTCGAATGGTTTGCAGATATGTAAGCCGTCATCCTCGCCTTGGTGCACAATAGTTGATAACATCGTCTTAGCGACTGGAACAACATTTTCCTGGCACGCGTCCCAGATATCCGGATCACTCTCCCCACACCCGACATGACATCTGATGTGCCAGGAGACATGCCTAGCACCATCATTGCTCCTGATCTCTCTCTCAGTACGGTGGATACTGAGATGGAAATTGAGCGCTCGCTCCCATGGACCCCAGCGCGCATCGGTCGACCAGTGGGGTTTGTCTCTCCAGGTGCCACCACGATCGCCTCGGGCCAATCGGCCGTTCTATCATATGTACACAGGGCACCATTCTTCCCAGGCCGACCGCGGAACCCTCACCGCCATCTTTGCCGGGCAGTAGGTGGGGCGGTGATACGCCTACACTGCAGCTGCAGGAACAACTACACGAATCTTTCCTGCCAGAACTGAGCGAGGGGGACGGCACTATTCGCGTAGGTTTGGGCGTAAGCGTCGACGAGTTTGGCACATTCATCTCCGAGGAAGAGCACGAATCAGTGGAGGACTCCGACCCGGGTGGGTCTCCACAAATAAGCCTGCAAGATGCGCTTGCATTGCCTATTCCACTGCTGGTCACGCCACGCACGAGCGAATTAGAGTTGCGCGGTGTTGCTGTGTCAGGATTGACGCCATCGCGCATCCCACCCGCCTACTCCGCTGGCGCAGCCACACTGGTGCCGGTGTCGCAGCCGTGGATTCACTTGGTGAGAGGGACCAGGGATTGCCGGAGCTCTCATGGCATGGTCTGGATGCAGACCCATTCCGTTGTTCTCCGCTGCCATCAGTTCCGATCGAGGAACGAGAGGCGGGTGCCGGCGGAGGAGAGACAGGAGTATGCGACGACGTGGCGAGTTCGCGGCGCGTGGACGCGACGTTCCGCTGGAGCACCGCATCGCTTGAGATGGGAGTCCCGCCGTACACGCCGGGATCCCAGCATAACCATGCCCACGCGCACACGATGTCCTTCGCGGCGCTGAGTGCTCTGACGCGTCGGATCCGCGAGCGGGGACGTGCGCTCCTGCGCAAGTCTCACTCACGCATACCTTTTCCACATCCACGCCTCTCCGGTCCATCTCACCCCCACCCCCCACCCTCTCCGCTGCCTCCCGCGATGGGGGGCTTTGCCACGGCATTGGAGGGAAACGGGTTCGGAAGCGTGCGACGCATCGGGCTGGGAATCGGGTACTCGCTCCCGAGTCCGGGCTTGACCTCACAGCAAGCGCGTACCGCATGCGCGCCTGCTTTCGCCTCCGCCTCTGTACCTCCTCGCCGAGTTACTACGCGGGAGGACGGTGAAGGGACAGTTCCGGCAGGATGTTACGCCGGACTGGGCGGCGGCCGGCGTGGGAAGAAGAGGGGTGCCGCGCGAGAAGTACAACAGCAACTCGAAGAGCAACAACAACAGGAACGACTCGAAGGCGCCGTCAAGTCTCCCGCAGACGGCCGCCCAGCGTGCGAGTCAGCATCTGGGGCTTCGCCGTGCAATTCGGGGAGCGTGATGATACTTGGGAATCCCGGATTCGGAGCTGTTGCGCTGGGTGCTACGACCAACCTTGAACGAGTAGCGAGCGGCACTCTTCTCGACGATTCTGGACTTTGATAGTGAATGGAGGGTTTGCGAATCCGCGATGCCGCCGGGGCTTGTCTAAGTTGCAAAAACCACTCTCTGAGAAGCCGATCGCTGCTGTTCCTGTTGCTGCAGCGACGGTGGCACTCAGCTGACCTTTAGAGCACAGCGCACAGTGTTATCGTCTCTTGTCTTCCCTTCTTTTTTCAAATCACGTCGCGTCACGTTTTTCTTCTTCCACTTTCGGTATTCGTTTGTTCGCATGTGGGTGTACGTGTTTTCCAACTAGATATACTGTAGAATACGATCCTTGTTCCGTAACACCTTTCCCTTGTTTTCGCATCATTCACACGAACTCTTCGGGTACACAATAACGCATCGCCCCAGTCGCCCCTCACCAGCGAACAAGGACCGAGCACAGCCGATAACAGAACACTGAAAAGATATTTCACAACTCGATGATATCGGAAATGCATCTCGGTGTACGTCGGAGCTGCCGATGAGGGGATAAAGTGGAGTCGAGTAACAGCGGCAACTTTGGATCGAACGGAAGCGAGAACCGCGGTGGCCAACAATAACAAAAATCATGTACGTTCTGATCACGCACGGTTGGAAGCGGGTTAGCAACTTTGTGCGGGTATTGGTTAGAAAGAAGTCGACGTATGAGCGGCCGCTGAGCGCGCTGAGCGCTGAGCACTGAACCACACAGCAGACCGAAGCATCGAAGGTGGCAGCGTCGCGGCATTTATGCGTTATGTCCGGTTGAGCGAGTTGCAGAGGATTTGATTGCGACAATCACGGGTTGAGCGGAGAGGGAACATGGAATCGGCATGAAGGTGTACTTGTATAAGTTGGCACGGGAGGGCGATCGTGTGAGCCATTGATGCATTAAGCGTTGTTGAGTTGCCCGTTTGGGGTCACTAACGTCGGGGTGTAGTATGGACCTCGGACAGCAACGAGGGAGGATCGTATTGTCATAAGCCGCGAAAAATGGAGAAAAGACGTGGCACACATCGGGAACAACCCGATCAAGGTGCGGAAAGGCGAATGTCGATCGATAGACCAAGTCTAAAACATATGCCTTTTTTCGGAAGAATGCCTTGAGAGCGCCGAATATGCGAGAGCGTACCGAAGGGGATCACGATGAATAGAATTCATAGAAGAGAGAGCATATACCAGTAGCGAAGAGACGAGGATATAAAAGGATATATCAAGCAGTGGGATAGGCGGGATGGGATGAAGGAAGATCACCGATCAACAAGTACGAATC